CTACCAATAATTCTTCCTGTAATTCTTTTTCCATATACAATTGTTTTAATCATTTCACATTCTGTACAAAGATGACAAGAAGCGCCACAGAATTCTTTAAAGTAGATGTAAGGTTAGATTTAAATTAAATTTTGTGGGGCTGGAGCCATGGCTCAGCAGTTAAGAGTACTGGCTGCTCTTGCAGAGGACCTGGGTTCCATTCCCAGCACCTACATGTGGCTAGCAACCATCCTTAACTCCAGTTCCAGGAGATCTGACACCCTTTCTGACCTCCATGAGCACTGCACACATGTGGTACACTTACATACATGCAAAACACTCATACACATAAAATGTAAAAATTAATAAAATAAATTTTTAAAAATTTCTGTGTGTGCATATGTGGTGCACATAAGCAAGTTTGGGTGTGGGAAGGGGGGTGGGTATTCCATGTATGGTCTGTACATGGAAGTCTAAGAATAACCTTCATGTGTCAGTTCTCTCTTTTCCACCTGGTTTAAGACAAGGTCTCTTCCTCCAATGCATGTACCATGAAATGCTCCTGTCTCAGCCTCCTATCTCTCCATGAAGCCCCACTGGAATTACAGATACCTTCACTCCTGTCTCTGGTGGGTTCTGGGGATCTGAACTCGGGTCGTCAGGTTTATTTGACAACCACTTTTAACCACTGAGTCCTTTCCCTGGCCCTTAAGATAAATTTTAAAATAGCTGAACATGCATCAAACCCTAGCACTTAGGAGGCCAAGACAGCAGGATCCAGAGTTTGAGACCTAGGCTACATGTCAAGTTCAAGGTCAGCTTGGGAATCTACATGCGCATGCACACACACACACACACATACACACAATATGAATAATACAATAAAATAAATAATGAGATAGTTTCATTTAGCTCTGATGTAATCCCTTTCAAAGTGGGCAAAGTATAAAAATAGAATAAACAGAGTTGGGTGTGGTGGCGCACGCCTTTAATCCCAGCACGTGGGAGGCAGAGGCAGGTGGATCTCTATGAGTTCAAGGCCAGCCTGGTCTACATAGTGAGTTCCAGGTCAGCTGAGGCTACAGGGAGACCCTGTGTCAAAAAAAAAGAATGAACAAAAAGTCTAGGAAAGTCCAGAGTGCTCCACATCCAACTTTTAAAACTGACCACCCAGCAGCACAGCATTCTGGAACTATTATTTCCCTCCCCCAGAATTCTGAGTCTTCCTCCATGTACCCAGCACTCCCACACACTGTTATCTAAGAGGCCAGGGTGACTGAAAGGAAAGGGAAAAAGAACCCCCAAGATCAGCATGTGAGCCACAGAAATAGATCTGCCTTCACACTGAAGCTGTTCTCCACTGTCCTATTCTCCACGGTCCTATTGTTCTATCTTTTTTTTTTTTCAAATGGTGGAAAATCTAATTCCAAACAAATGTTAATAACTTCATTATGTGACCGTAGGGCTAGTAAGTTACGCAGATAAAGAGATTGTGGGCTAGGCTATTCAAGTTTTTTTCGAATAATATATATCTCTTCACATAAGCCTATACACACATATGCAAAACCCCTACAAAATAAGCTAAATTAACTTTAACAGGTTACACTCCAAATATACTAGGTGCAACTCAGACTTGAAACGCCCAGTATCCAACTTGATATACAGCAGTAAAGATAAGGGACAGAGCAGGGACCTGAGAGATGGCTCAGTGGGTAAAAACCGCTTTGCTGCACAAGCATGAAGACCTGACTTCAAACTCACAATGCCCACATAAAAAGCTGGGCATGGCCACACATACCCAGTGCTATGGGGGCAAAGGTAGGAGGGTCACTTGGGCTTGCTGCCTGACAGCATAGCTTGAGAGACCCTGTCTCAAGGGCAAAGCAAGACATCCAGGCATGTATCCACACATGTGCATACACCACACATATATGCCCCCCCAACACACACACAGGAAAATAGGACCAGAGAAACATCAGTTTGATCCCCAGAATTCAAGTAAAAATCCAGGCATGGTGGCACATCCTTGTAATCCCAGCACAGGGGAGTCAGAGACAGGAGGTCCTTGGGGCTTGCTGGCCAGCGACTTTAGCTTACTTGGCAAGTTCCAGGCCAAATAAAGAGCCTGTCCAAAAAATTAAAAGGTTGACAGTGCCTAAGGAACAAACCTGAAGTTGTTTTCTGGTTTCCACATTTATCTGCACACATATGTAAGTACACCTGCACACACATGCATCTGCATGCACACACATGCACAGGAAGAAAGTGCTCATGTTGGAAACAAAATATAGGACAAAGAGGAGTGAGAAGACTCTGGACTGCCATCAGTAGGGTAGCACTGTTGACAGTGTGAAGGGGTGAATAATTTCTATTGGCTGGACATCCTTGCCCAAGACAGAAGGAGCTTCTCTGTAAGAGGATAAGAAAAGCCCTGGGTGCCTGGAAGCCCTGGGCAGAAGACAGGGAGGTTTAGAAGAACTAAGCACCTACCCTATACCAAGCCACCAGGCAAGAAAAGTCACATTATACTTCCACGCCCAAAATAACCTTGACACGTATATTCTACAACCAATTTGGCCACCCTGTGAGTCTTAACAAGTATCATTTAAAACACCGTGGAAGTCTGAATCTCTTATTTCATGTCCTTTTCTTCCAAGATAAGTCCTTAGCACCCTAGACTGTCAGTAACAAGAACAAGAATACCCACAAAGGTGTATTTGCATTGAACACTTATTCTCAAGCACTATGTCAAGATATTTATATATGTTACATATTTAAATCCTATTGTGTAATTCCTACAGTATGGTTATAACTATTGTCCCCTTTTGCAGAATAGGAACCTGAAGCTCAGTGTGCCAACCTTTATCCCATTTCATTTCCATAATTTGTGAAAAATCTTTTATCAAATAGTAAAGCCTCAGGCATGCAGACCTTACAAGCAGCATTTTCTCACAGCTGTGAGAGAAACCAGGAAGAAACACTTTGAAAAAAAGGTATTTAGTTTTGATAAATAGGTATTATTCTTTGATCATGAAATCCACATAAGACATGGTTATGCTACTGTTTCAACAAGGCATAGTTCCACCCAGTTCTTACCCTGTTGTCTTCCTGGATCTCCCAGTCACTGGAGAAAGTCACCAGGTGCTGCCCTTGGGAACAGTTAGCAAACTGGAAAAGGCTGGAAAACAACCTTCTGTTTTCCTGTGTGTCTGGAAAGACAGCATCTTGGAAATTGACTCCGTGAGGCAAGAGGTTATAATTTTCATCCATCCTAAGGGGAAAAAACCAAAGGCAGAGCTGTAGGTGAGACTACTGACATGGGCCAGATTCAGTTCAGTTCATAGATGGATGCTCTTGACAATTTGATCATAATGTATGGCATGGTTCTCATAAAGGACTCTTGAAGTTATTCTAACTATTTCTCTGCTTTACACTACTGGGCCTTAACCTTAAGGTTTTCCAAAGAACAAGTCTTAGGCAAAGGGGAAAGAATGCTTGTCTCATACCATATTTCTTAGAGCATCCTTGCTTCCTGGTGGGAAGAAAGCCTGCTGGAATGTGACTAGAGTTCAAGTCTCACCACTGCCTTATCTTTTGTATGACATAAAACAAATTTCTTAACATCGCTAAACCTCAGTCTTCCAATGTGTTTGTACAAGAGGATTATGGTAGAACCTTGATGTTGTCATAGGGATTACATTAGAAAATTTAAGTAGGGCCTAGAGAGATGGTTTAGTGGGTGTGTGTGCTTCCTGGATAAGCATGGGGGGCCTAAGCTTCAGTCTCCAGTACCCACATAAAAAGCTGAGTATGGGGGATGGAGAGATGGCTCAGAAGTTAAGTGCACTTGCTGCTCTTGCAAAGGACCCAAGTTCAGTTTCCAGCACCCACATGGTAGCTCATAACTGCCTATAACTCCAGTTCCAGGAGATCCCTCCTGGCCTCTATGGACACTGCATGCATGTGGTACACATACATACATTCAAGCAAAAAACTCATATACATTAAAAAAAAAAAAAGTTGAGCATGACTGAGCATGTGTTATAAGCCTAGCATTGGGGGACAGAGACAGGCAGATCCTGGGAGCTTTGTGGCCAGCCTGCCTAACCCAAACAATGAGTTTCCTGTTCAGTGAGAGACCCTGTCCCAAGGCAATAAAGTAAAGAGCAATTTAAAAGAAGGACACCCAAAGTCCTCCTCTGGCCTCTGTAAGCATGCACTCTCATGTGCATGCAACACACACACACATACACACACACATACACACACACACAGAGCACAAAAAAGTGTAAATCAATCAATGAATGAACAAGTGAATACAGTATAAATACTACTGAAATTTACACTCTAGTGTAAATTGCTTGTTAGAAACACAAAAAGGAGAGGTAGGAATTACAACCCAGGTATTACAGTTTGAATGTGAAATGTGTACCTAACTGGTGGTGCTATTTGGGGGAAGTTGTAGAAACTTCAGGAGGTGAGGCCTAGCTACAGGAAGTAAGCCCTGGGGACAAGTCCTTGAGAGCTATAGTTTGCCCTGGCCCCTTCTAGTATTTCTTCTCTGCTTTCTGTTTACTATGAAGTGAACAGCCTCTGCCACACACACTACCATAATAAGCTGCCCGAGTGTACGGAGCCAAGCAACAATGGAATGAGCCCTCTGGAAGTGATGGAATCCTTCCTCCTTTGTTATTCATTCTCTCCTGTGTATCCATCACAGTGACGCAAAACAACTCATACACTAGGAGAAAAAGAATACAGCAGGCTCCCCAGTGAGTTTCTACTGTCACTGCCCTTTCTCTGCAGAGAGAAAGAAAGGCAGAGACAGAAAGAGAGAGAGAATGAACCAGAGTCTATTCTCTGACAGTGGGCCCAGTGCAACAAAGAAGAAATAATTTGTATGCAGTGTCAGGACACTTCAGAGCAAGACAGTCCTATGAAATGAAAATCTGTCACAGTATCATATGATTTTGTACATCTGCCTTAACTTTTTGTAAATATGTCATAGCAAAAGATGAAAGAGTTGGCTGACCACCACACAGTCACTAGACCATTTTATGATGTTTTTTTTGTTTGGTTGTTTTTTTTTAAAAAAAGAAGGGTCTGGAGAGATGGCTCAGCAGTTAAGAGCACTGGCTGCTCTCACAGAGGATCCAGGTTTGAGTCCTAGCACCCAGATGGTGGCTAACAACCATCCATAACTCCAGTTCTGGGGAATTCAACACCCTCTTCTAACCTCCATGGGCAATGCACAACACAGGTACACTTACATCCATGCAGGCAGCACACTCATACATATAAAAAAATAAAAATGATATTTTTTAAAAAGAAAAACCAAAAATGTCCACTCATTTTCTCCCCTTTGGAAAATAAAGTGCTGTCAGATCATTTTTATAGATGAGTGAAAATTCTGAATTATCTGTATCAAGAAAGGCAGTCTCCCATCCCAGTTCTGACTATTTAGAAACTATACTTCCATGCAATTTTTTAAAAAATCGCCCTAATTTGGCTAAGCCACTCAAGCCAATGCAAAGAAGGACATGTATTCTAAACCTAGTCTGCCTTCAATATAGGAAGCACAAGTGGCCCTGAGTTCATGGACACCCCTCTGTGGAACTTATAGTACTGAAAGCTAAAAATGAATCTGCAGACCCTGCTCAGTCAATCCAAATATCCCTGGTGCTGTTTCATGATTGGGAAGATTGGAATTATTATTGACCATAATGCTTCAGATTAATTCACTCATTGTCTTGAAACCTGGCTCCAATTTCATGTCCATGTCTCTCTCAGTTGTTCTGTTATCAGTCTTAATTGAATTAGAAGCAACCCACATACTTGGGTTCTACCTGCTGTTTTCTATTTCCAATTCAGGCAAAATTCAGTAGTCAATAAAAATGGACTGAATTTGAAGGCCGATGCGGTCTGTGTTTATCACAGGCCAATCTCCATGTAGCATTCACAAGATTGCTCTTGTCTATAAGGATAAGGGGCCACCCGCCTGATCCACCTCTGCACTCTTCAAAGCACGATAACCCAAGGTCTTTATCTTACCCCATGGGACTCCTAAAAGCCTCTGCTATTTTGAACAACCTGGCAGCTGGAATGAGATAGCGGAATGACAAAACAGTAGGGCTGCATTGTGGTACTAAAGTGGGTGGGAAAGGAAAACATGGATACAGGTTAAACAACTAGGCTCCCTGCCACCCCCCCTGCCCAGGTTCGGCACGTGCCCTTCAGTATTTGCGCCTCAGTTTTACTCAGGTGGGAATTGGGGGTAGGGATGGGGCTGGTGAGAAGTAACTGGCTCAGTACTCACATTTGGGAAGTTCAAAGCCAGAATTCCAACAACATATTCCAGAGCTTTTTCTTTTTCTTTTTTTTTCCCTTACAATTACAATGTAAGCCCACCAAAGCCAATTTAAAGAATTGAGTCAGCACGGTGTGTGTCCCTAGATAACTTCACCACTAAACCTCATAGCTCAGGGACCACTGAGAAAGAGGAGGTGGAAAGACTGCAAGAACCATGGGTGGTTGGTGCATGACTATAAGGAAACGGTCTTCCATGCTTTTGGGACTTGCTCATATGAACATATAGCAATGGTGACAGCATGCACAAGACCCATGCAAACTCAATCAGACAAAAACCCAGCATTAAACTGGAGAAATGGAGAGGAGGCCCCAACCTTAGCTGAGGAACTATTGGCAGCTAATCACTGCTGGGTGAGAGAGAATTGGTCTTCTTTAAAGCAGTGAGTGATTCTAGGTAGGCTGACCAGGCTCCAGTGAATGAACTCACACCAAGGGACATCTGGGTACACAAACTTGTTTCCTTGATTCAGTAGGCCTTAACATATATGACAGAATGCATGAAATCTAGTGGGCAGGCTATGGGGGGGGTGCAGACAAGGGTGGGGGCCAAAATATGATTAAGATGTAGTATATGAAATGCACAAAAATTCAATAAAAATATATATTGAAGAAAAAAGAAGAAAGTCAAATGAGTGATTGATAGCTGCCGATGGTGGCATGTGCCTGTAACCCAAGAACTCAGAAAACTCAGGCAGGAGGATGGGCAAGGCCCAAGCCAGCCTGGGTCACAAAAAAGACCATTTCAAAACAAACAAACAAAAGTAGTTTGACCATTTTGCCTTTAACACCCTTCTATGCACAGGACTCCAAAATCATTCATGTATTTTTATTTATTTACTTGCTTATTTATTTTAGGTTTTGTTTTTAATATTTTATTTAGTTATTACTTTTATTTTATGTGTGTGAGTGTATTGCCTGCATGTGTGTAAGTACACCTGTATCATGCAATGTCTATGGAAGTCAAAAGAGGGCATAGGATCCCCTGGAACTGGATTTACAGATGGTTGTTAGCCACCATATGGGTGCTGGGAACTGAACCCAGGTCCTCTGGAAGAGCAGCCAGTGCTCTTAACGCTGAACCATCTCTCCAGTTACCCTTGTTTTGATTTTTTGACAGTAGTGTCTCCCTATAGCCCTAACTGGTTTCCATCTCACAAAGAGCCTGTCAACCAAGTGCTGGAATTGCGGAATTACAGCTTATTCGGGTATTTTAAACAGCTTTAAAAGCCAAGAGGTGATCAGGGAATTCTGAGAAGATGGAGCCAAAGATAATAAAGCAGTAAGGCATGTCCTAGTTTGGCAAAGACACATCTGGGTGGACACTCCTGATGTGCTGCAGGTAACTGACCACAAGCTCTCACAAACCTGTTAGAGGGGCCAGGCTCACCTGAGGAAGAAGAAGTAGGAGTAGTCCTGGACCACCGTGTGGGAGTGGCAGGAGAAGTAGCCCAACCCGGTGAGGTTGAGCCGGGAGCCAGCGGGCACCTCCAGCATGCTGCCCCACGCCTGGTCGCACAGCATCTCCACCTCTGCGGAGTAGAAGAGCCCTTCCGTGCCGGCGTGATACTGCCAGGGCAAGTAGTTGTAGAGGCCGGGCACCTCGGGGTGCAGCGCCAGCACCTTGGCGTACACAATGGTCTCCGCTAGCTCGGCGCGGCAGCCCTCGCTCAGGGGTCTCCACTCCGAGGGCAGCTGGCAAGCGGGCACCTGGCGGGCGGCCAGGCAGAGTGCAGCGAGCAGCAGCCGGCGCAGCATCCCGGCGGCAACGCGCTAACCCGGGCGCATGGCCCTCCGGGGCGCCAGAGGCCGCGGGGAGCCGGGGACCCTCAGCCCGGCCGCTCGCCTGCGCGGCCGCTCGGGGAGCCGGCGGAGCTTCTCCCTGGGAGCGGGGATCACCGTGCGGCCCGCGCCCCACCGCGCTTTAAAAAGGTTGCGGAGACGCGACCGGATGGGCGGGGACTGGGGCGTGGACAGCAGGAGGGCGGGGAGTCCGCACGGCACCGGGTCGCCTTGCTCGGCTCCGGGAGGAGGGAACCAGCACAGGCGCCGCCGGGACTCCGGGTGGATGCGGTACGCAGGGACTTCTTGCTGGCAGCGCGACCCAGCCGGGCTTTAGCGTCCCACCAGCGGCTAAGGCAGAGCTCGCCAGGTGTAAAGAGCTATTTCAAGCGCTGGCCTCCAGCTATTGTTCTTAATTTTCACTATTCTGCATAAGTCTTTCGGTTTTACATACAGTTCATTTAGAATCAAAGCACATAGCAAATCCGATCTTCCCTGAAGTTAATATGGGGTAATAAACTTTCTCTTTCTCTCAATCCAGAAAGTTTTGATAAAACATGTGAAAGTTTTTTTTTTTCGAGTCATCCTACAACTGTGAAATGAATTCATTAGTAAATTCCAAACAGCTTTTCACTGGTCGCGAATAATTAGAGGAGACCAAAACCTCAGGTTTCAGTCAGTCGCCTTTTCTATTTCTAATGTAGTAAGAGTGAAAAATAAAAGATCTGAGAGTATAGCTCAGTTGGTAGAGTACTTGCCCAACATGCACAGTGCCCTGGGTTTGATCCCCAGCCCCCATCAACTGCACATAGTGGGTGCATGCTCTGGGCTTGGGAGTTGAAGGCTGGAGGATCAGAAATTCAAAGTGAGCAAGGTGCGGTGGTGCATGCTTTAGTCCCAGCACTCCAGAGGCAGAGGCAGGGGGATCTCTATGAGTTCAAGGCAGCCTGGTCTGCATAGTGAGTTCCAGTCCAGCTGGAGCTACAGAGAGACCCTGTCTCAAAAAGACCCCCAAAAAAAGAAAGTCAAAGTCTCATCCTCAGCCATGTAGGGACTTTGAGGCCTCCATGGGTTAGAGACTGGGGAGGGAAGGAAGAAAGGGAGGGAGGGAGGGATAACATATGAATAATATAGTCATATTAAGCATGTCATTCATCTATCATGTATATAATATATATTATTTAATATATTTTACAGCAGATTTATAAGTCATACTTCATTAAAATGGAAGACTGTTCTCTCTAGCATCTTATTCAGAATTTCGTCCATTTGGAACCTGGAATACAGCTGAATTCTTCAATGACCTGGAGAGTAGAGAGTTCCTGAGAAAAACTAGAAGGAAAAATACAGAAGTGAGAAAGAAAATTAAAGGCTGGGCCTCACCTCCCTAAACCCACCCCCCTCCCCAAGAATCTAGAACCTTCCAGAGAGTCCTGAAACTTGAGTTAGGATGATTCTATTTATGAACTCTTGTAGTTGATGCAGGCTTTGATGGGCGACTCCGAGGTATAAACTGAGACCATGTAAGGAGGGACTCAGAAGATGGAATGGAAGAAACCTAAGGAAGGGGTTTGAGCATTCTCAGCCAATAAAAGGCAGCATTATCTGTTGAAGCATTGGGGGAGCTTCATATGACATGAGGCTCATAGTAGCTGAGACTCTTACCAGTGAGTTAGTCAGGTTTTATTCTCACAGACTTTGAGATAGCCCAGAGCAGAAGGAAGTAAGAATGAGAGCTCTTCACAGACAGTGGATTTCCACGTGTCAGGTATGCAGCCGCAAACTGCAACAAATTCTTTATGTCTTTCTCCATTTTTCCTATGGGGATGGTATAGATGCATGTTTTGCATGGGTGTAGGCACACATGTATGGGGGGGTCTCTCAAACAAACCCAAATCTTGCTGATACAGCTCATCTTGCCAGTTACTTGCTCTGGGGACCCCCACCCCATCTCTGCTTTCTCAGGCTACCACACCTACTCAGCATTTACATGGGTTCTGGGAATCCAAACTCAGAACCTCATGCATGTGTTGCATGGCGAGTACTTTAACCACTGAGACATCTTACCAGCCTCAATCATAAATTCTCTTTGAAGCAGGATCTTGCTATGTAGCCCTCAAACTCATGGGAGCTCAGATTATAAGTGTGAGCTGCCATGTTCAGTGGAGCCTCAATAAATTCTGTAGGAAAATCTTAGTTATTGTCATAGGTAATGTAATCCAGGGGACAGCAGTCTCAAGGGAATAAGTGACAAATGACTCTGTAGTTCCCTACCATGGGAGATTCCAAACTTTCACACAGTGAATAGGAAGTAGCATTCAAGGCTAACATCAGAGGCCACTTGTCAGCATTGTCTCTAACATGTAAATGACGGAAACTTCATGTTACTGTATTAGCCTGCTCAGGCTACCATAATGAAATACCACAGACTGGTGGCTTATACAACAGAGATTTTATTTCTCCAAGTTCTGGAGGCTAAAAGTTTAAGATTAAGACTGCTGTCTGGTAAGACCTCTTTTCCTGGAGTATATATAGTTGGCCATCTTATATCCTTATAGCAAGAGGTGGCCTTTTCTTTGTGCCCCACAAAGAAAGATCTCTTTCTGTCTTCCTCTTACCAGTCTGACAGATTAGAGCTCCACCTTTATTAACTCATCAAGCCTTAATTACCCCATAAAGCCCTGTTTCCAAATACAGCCACTTGGGGGGTTAGAGCTTTAATATATGAATGGGGAGTGGGAAGAAAAGACATAATTTAGTCAGAACAGTTGTTTAGTGGGTATTCTGCAGGTTTGATAGAGGAAGAAGAGGGATATGACATAGTTTATGTTCTTGGCAAGCAGACTTAGAGTAAGCAGTGCCAAATGATAATATCAATTGCTAACTATGAACCAAATATTGCTGTAAGGACTTTAGATGTTATCTTAACTCAGTCTCCAAACAATTTTCCAGAATAGATGTTACTACCTATTTGTAAAGCTTTTTGTATGTATGATTACATGTATGATGTATGCATATGTATATGTGCACATTTTTGTGCATGAATGTGAGTGTATGAGTGTCACAGTGCACATGTGGAGGTCAGAGACAACCCTGGGTGTCAATCTTTACCTCAACTTGAGACCAGATCTCTTTGCATACTGGGTCTCCTTGTTCACCACTGCCTACACCAGGCTAGGTGAGCCACAAGTTTCCTGAACACTGGATTACAAGACTTCATGTGGATTCTGAGGATCTAAACTCAGGTCCTCACAATTACATGGTAAGTACCTTACCTACTGAGCCATCTCTCTAGCCCTATAGTCCTCAATTTTATAGATAAGGAAATTTAGGTACAGAGAGGTTAATTACCAAATATCATAGAGACAGAAATGGACTGAACCAGGATTCAAATCACAGGACTCATGGACTTAAAATCAATACTATAATAGGGGGAAATGGGGAGTTATTTAAAGGCACAAGCTGGTCCTTTGTTTAGGATGCTTGTAGAGTATGTAGTTTACTGTTACTGAGTATGAAATGTACAACGCAGGCTCGTGTATTTAAGGCTTAATCCCCAGATGGTGGCACTGTTTTGGAAGCATGTAGAAACTTTAGGAGTTAGGGCCTCACTAGAGGAAGTAGGTCCCTAAGGGATGTCCCTGGGGATTGTATCCCACTCCAAGCCCATTCCTGTATCCCTCTTTCTGTTTCCTGTCCATCATGAGGTGAACAGCCTCTTCTACCACGTTTTACCACCATGATGTTCTGCCTCAACATGGGCCCAGAATCAGCCAATCTCAGACTGTGGACTGAGGTCTCTAAAACCATGGGCCAGACCAAATAGTTCTTCCTTTAAATTTCTCTCAAGTGTTTTGGTCACAGCTACTCAGAAATAACTAGTAGAGTTAGTAAGAACTTCGCATACACCGCAGTGATGATTCAGCGTGTGTGAAACTGACCTGGTGTTCACTTTACTCAGTCCTATTCTATTTTAGTTGTATGTTATAACTTGTACAGACAAGATAATTTTAAAAAGGTTTCTTTTTCATTGCATCTTCAAATGCCTAAGAGGCCTGGAAAAGATTTGTCTACTTCTACTGACCTTAAAGCCTTGACTTTTCTTTCCATTTAGACAAGTTAATAAATTTAAAAAGCCATATGCATGACTGTTTTCTCTCTTCTTGTGTAAACTTGACAGAATCAAAACTCTTCAGTATTACCCGAAATGTACTTTCCAGAAGCCCCTTCCAGAGATTGTTATTCTCATGGACTCTTCAGACAGGTTGGTCACATTTTCTTCTCTATAATATCTAACAGAGGGCCTGGCTTATTGTGTTCCTTTTCCTGTGGAACCACTGGTGTGTTTCCTGGTGAACAGTTAGTCTTTGGGGAGTACAACTGCCAAATAAGTAGAGCTCAAGATAGTCAAAAGGGAGACAAAAATGCCATGAACAAATCATTAGATTTTATAGTGAGCCAAGCCACTTTGCCCCCTTATCACAAGACCCATCCATTGTGGCTGCTAGGCAGGTAACAGTGCCTAGTATTCCATCTTAAAAATATATAGCTCTTCAAAGCATAAAAATTTCTCCTTAATAATTGGTGGATGTGAAAAGCATTACCATTGAAATCTACCTGACGACTTTATATCCATGCTCAGATGCCAAGGAGCTCAGAAATTAACCGACTGTGACTAGTAATAATCAGATATATAGAGATTAGAAATGCATGTGGAAACATCTTAATGTCAATTGCATTAAAAATGAAGTTTTCTGTTTGAAACTTTGTATTTTAATAATGAAATGGAGATCTTTTGTAAAGATTAAAACCTCATTTAATTTTATGTCTTACAGGGTTTATACTGAGTACAATATTGTATAAATGTAATAATTCAACTGTAAACCTAAAAATGTATAGCCAATTTTGTAAGAGATGCAGCCTAGCTCAGAAAATTGTTATTGAATATCTCTATGCTGATGTATATAGTATTGGAGAGATGGCTCAGTGGTTAAGAACACTGGTTGTTCTTGCAGGAGACCCAGGTTCAAATCCCAGCACCCACATGGCAGCTAACAACTGTCTGTAATTCCAATCCCAGGGGATCTGACAGCCTCTTCTGACCTCTGCGGGCATTGCATGACATGGGTGCACTTACCTCCATGCAGGCAATACAT